GTCAGCCACCTTGGGGTCCTTTTCAAGGAGAAAGGTGTGGTTTAAAATAATATGTTAAATAAATAAACGGTTGCATCTTCCTCTTTGCCTTGGCCTGCAAAAAATTCTGAGCCTGTACGAATGTAAGCAAATAATTGTACACTCAGTCGAAATTCTTTCTGTCCAGAAGGTGGGACCACAGACGCAGGTCCCATTGTCCTACTTGTGGTCATGGATATTTCCTCCATAGCTTCTGTAGGGGGGAAAAAGAGTAGCCAAGCCACTACAGGCACAAAAATCTCCTGGCTAAAACACGAGAAAAGCAAAGTGAGGGAGAAGCGATCCCCTCTTCCCTTACTTAGAATCTAACCTCACAAATTTTGACGATTTCTGCCCGTTGAGAGCCTTGGTGCCCCATTTCACAAAGCCTGATGGATAACAAAATGGAAATGTGATCGCAGATTATATAAAACATTGATTGATGAATCATCGTTAATGGCATTTTCAGAAGGAAAAGAGGACTCGAGAGATGAGCGGATGCCTTTGAACTGTCAGTCAAGCAGCTGCATGTTTGTTCATGGAACTTTGGGGGAAAAAAGTCAAGAAGCGCATGCAATGCGCCTCGGAACAGACGCTCTAGCAGAATGCATAACAGATGCATGGAACACGCTGCCTTAAGGTTTCATTGCTTAAATCAGAGTCTTTGTGTACACTTCTGCTGTTGCGCAAATGTCACGCAAGCGATCTGCTTCGGTGACCACAACATGTGATGCTTCCTTGTCATTCAACAACATACGTTTCTGTAATGGATGCCATTTACTTCTAGACCAGAAGGTGTTCACTCAGTACAGAGGCAAGGCTCTCTTTGAATGCTAAGCCACGATCGGTTAGTGCTGGGTAGATAATCACGCCAGTCAAGAAAAGTCCCTCCCAGTCAAACAAGCCACAGGCAGCATGCAAGATTGCAAATAAAATTCCAGCAGTGTCCAGAGGAGGGAAAAAGCAAGATGGAGGAGGATGTAAGGTGCCCCGAGTAGACTTTGTCTAGAGTGGCGGGGTATAAGTTCAATAAAAGTAAAGTCCTGACTTGAAAACTACCTCACACACTAATATCAGCCTGCTCTCTCTAGCACTGTTCACCCTGAAATCTGTCTCTCTGCCTGGAGATACAGGAAAGCACAGCGATTCCCAGCATGCTGAGATCTGGCCGTGACACTTTTAATTGTCAGAGAAAGCTGTGTATTATCTCTCTGTATGCTTCTCAGTACCATTCCCTGGAAAACAGAAGCAGGAGAAGCTGCTGCACTCATTTTTCCCCCTTCTTGGTGGTGGAATTCTCAAGGTCACAGACATAGGCTGGACTGTGACACAGCTTAGGAAAACTTTCTCTTTTTTCTAAATAAGTCCTGCACTAGACACTGTAGAATTCTGGATTAGGCACTTTGGAACAGAATGCTGAAGAGAAGAGGCCTTTAGACTAATCCAGGTTGGCTCCGTGAATGAAATGGTGATTCGTCCCATTCTTTGGTCCACTGAGGAGATAGGCTGGCTCTCTCCTTTTCTTGGCAACCACATGATGTAAGTGCCATCACAAACCAGCTCATCCCTGATACACCCCTACCTGCACGTTTTTGGCTACCTGTCAGATGCTACAATTATTTTTTTACTGCAAGTAAAATTGCTATGTTTTGGTTTGGTTTCAGCATGTGCACTTGCTGAGATCAAACTAAAAAGAATGGCTTAATTTGTCTACCTAAGGCACTTAATGGGTTTCGGAAACTGAAAGCTTTCTCCTCTCCTTCATGGAGGGGGAGAGAGAGGAAGGTGGGTTGTTGGTTTTTTTAACGTCTTGTATGGCAGTGCAGATTTTTTTTAGAAAAAAAAGAGAAAGCTTCCTCCTGGAAAGAGAAAGGAGGGGGCAAGTAGGGTTTTGTTTTGTTTTGTTTTGTTACTTCTGACTTTTTTCCCTTTCACTTTAAAGGGAGCTGGGCCAAAATAAGTCGCTTGAGGTGCAGTGCAGTTTTCTGACCCCAAACCACCCAGTCCTTGCATGTGAATGAAGGGACCACACCAAAAGGCATATTGCACCTATACGTGACCCTATTTAACCTGCTCCAGCCTGCTCCAATTTGACATCTCATCTCCCCTTTGGCCACTCCGTTGTAGGGTCATGGAGTGTCAATGTAAAAACAAAGCAAACCCACTGACAATTTCAAAGACCAAAGCAAGTTGACACGTGAGGCTGGAAATATTTGACAGAATGAAAAACCTACATCATGCTACTCCTAGTTAATTTTCAACCCACCAGTAAAGAAAGATACCAGTCAAAAATCTGGGGACACTATTCAACATTATCCTAAGGATTACAGTGATCTTGGTAAGTAAATAACATCTTGTGTTGGTAAAAATGCCACTGTAAATGGATTTGTTGTGATCTTTGAAAGTACGGTTTTCATTATACTTAATTTTTCTAAATGGTCTTGCTCCTTCTTGCACCATTAATGGGCAGTCTGGCGTTACTACAAGTTTATTTCCAACAGACTGTAAAAAAAGATCGATGTCGAAATCAGGACATACAGGCGAGGTTGTCAATGGTGTGTGAAGCTTCGGTTAATGGCTTAAATACCTGGGCTTGTTTAGAAGTTGGCAAGGCTGTCTCAGAATAGCAAAGGTGGCATTCAGCAAATATGAAATATGAGGATTTCTCATGTAAGAATTTCAACAGAGTGCTCCCTCAAGTGGTGAAGAAGGGATAGTTGTTGAAACATGTTAAAAGGAGAACCATATGTGAGAGCAGGGTTATCTCTGGAATGTAAGTGGTTAGTGACTTCCTTTTCATGTTTAATTCCAGAATAGCAGAGGTTGTAAAATTAAAACATAAGAGCAGGAAATGTATTGTTCTCTCAACATGTGATCAAACCCTCATCTTTCACACAGTGGTGGAAGTGAGGTGTTCATGAAATGATGCACAATTTATAGCCTTCCTTGTGGATGAAAAAGGAAAAGCTGCCTAGAACAAATTAATATGAACATGATTTCTTTAGCTTATAGATGAAAAAAAAAACACAGCAAACCCGGTCATTGAGTAACAGTGCAGAAAAGCAATGCCATGAATGATCCACCACTGAACCACAGTTGCAGAGCACGGATTAGGTAGAAAACACCTCCTTGAGACTTGAGTGCATTTTCATCACTGACTGATGAAATCAGCTTCTCTGACTTGATATTCTCTCATTCAGCTGGTTTTAAAAATATTATGTGCCAATTGGAAGCATTCTGCAAGGAATCTCTGATGTGAAAATGAACTTCCCAAGGAAGCACCATAGCACTAAATTTGCACCCCTGCCTCAACCACTATCAATCAATCAATCAATCAGTCAGTCCATCAATCAATCAATCAATCAATCAATCAATCAATCAATCAATCAATCCATTCATCCATTCATCCATTCATCCACTTTATTTATATGCCACCTGTCTCCCCATAGGACCTAACTACCTGTCAGAGGGTCTTTCCCTAAAGACAGGTACCCATATCACCCAGTCCTCTCAGGCCATGCTCCTTTGGGTTGCCAGTCCAAGACAGGCCAGGAAGTCATCTACTAGAAACAGGGCCTTCTTGGTCATGGTCCATTCCCTTTGGAACAGGCTCTTGGTGGAGCTGCATCTGGCCTCCTTCCTCAAAGCCTTTAAGAGCATGCTCAAAACAAGGTTGTTCACTGAAGCCTTTGAGAGCATCCTTTCCTAAACGTTCCATGGATTGGCCATCTTTATGATTCCCGGTCACTTTTGCTTGGTTTTTCTTTGATTCATTAGTTGATTGTTGCCTTATGTGGTGCTTATTTCTGAGTACATTATTTAAGATTTACGGTATGCTTGTCCTACTTTGGAAGTAAATTGCCCATAGTAATATCTAGCGCTAATTGGGCAGCATACAAACAAACAAACTCCATATTTAAAAAGTAACTTGAGAACAGCAAGATTAAAACCAGAATTAAATACAATTTTAAAACATTTCAAAATTTTAAAGAAATCTCTAAGTTAAGTAAAGCTAGCATTCCTGAGACAATAGTTGCTTGAAAGCCTGCCTGAAAAAGAACAACAAAACAGTAAGACAATGGAAAATCCACAGATCATATTGGATCTGTCCTTATGTCATATGGAAACCAACAGAACAGAATCCAGTACTTGTGCAGGAGCTATTATCTTGCCTGGACAACATTGTAGATATGTCCCTAGCCCAGAGAACCTTTTTAGCAACTCTACAATTGGCACCAAGACAGCCCTGTGACAGGGTGGTTAAACAGCAGTACTGCAATCAAGCCTCCGCTCATGACTTGAGATTCATCCTGGTGGGTTTAGGTAACTACCTTAAGGTTGACCCAACCTTTCATCCTTCTGAGGTTTGGGGAGCAAAGTGTTGTTTGCATAATTATGTTGTAAACTGCTCAGAAAGTCTTCCAGCTCTGTGGGGTGGTATATAAATTGAAACACCAACATCACCAAGGTAAGATTTGGGGGCAGTCAATAGCTGGCTTTCCACATTTTAAAGAAATTGCCATTAACAAATTTATAAATTTGTCCAGTAGGCCATGTTAGGGGTTAATGCAAGTGGACTGGCCAGAAATCAAGGTAATCAAAGACCTGCAAGGATTAACATTTTTCAGGGATTTAAGGGACTCAGTCTTCTACAGGCTTGGCTAAAAAATAAGAGAGGGGACAGGAGGGAGAGAGCAAAGAAGACCTACAGGTAGCATAAGGTCCCTTCCTGATCCGAGATGGAAACTGAAGCCAAGATGAGTGATAGCATCAAGGTGGGTAATAGCAATTCATCCATTTCAATGTGACCAGTTATAATGAAAGAAAGGCTAGAAACAGAGAAATATCCATGCCTCGCATAGGGCAATTTCTTCCTTTGGCTCAAATTTCCACTTTCTCTCTGTCACTCAGCAGGCGACTGCTAAATAAAACAAAGGTTTCACAGTTTGACCAAATAGGACACCCAAATACATGCTTTTCTCTAGTTTGTCCTGGTTCACTTCTCTGCAGAATGATTTTTAGAGCACCAGATGCTTCAAAGCTTTTATCCTGAGGAAGGTCCAGGACCTGTCAAGTTTGAGGATAAAAACAGATTGGCTGTTAATGAGCATATCATCCAGGTATGGAGGCAAATAAAGGCATACGGGTATTAAGGAGAGGGAGAAGTATGGGGGGGGGGAGAGAAATGTTTCTAATTGGGATTTAATGGGGATCAAGTAGTTCATCAGGCTTTTGATGGATGCACCAACTTGTCTAGCAAGTACATCCTGTTTCAGGTTCACATTTTTTTCTTGCAATCATTCATGAGAGCTAGAAACCTACTTTTTAATTTTAAAAGGATGAATGTTTGAATTCTCAAGATTTCAACAATTCTTTTTTAAAATAACTTTCAGGGCACCTACTGCTGGTGAGTTATGTGCTGTTGAACCGTGATCTGCAAAAGAGTTGATCTTTTTGCTGGCATTCTTTGAATCAAGAGCTCAAGCTATTAAAACAGTAACAGCATACTAATGTTCTAAATACGGTGCCCTTTATCTGAATGCCCTGTGGAAAAGCCATTGCATAAGCAGATGCTAAGAGAAAACGGACACTCTTTGAAATCCTGCTTGTGTGCAGAATTATCAGTTAGATCTTGACACATTGGATTTTTAGACAAGCAAATCTTCATAGCAAATGTTACAACGATGGTGTGGTGATAGGCTTGGTTGTTAAATGTCAGTTGTACTCTGATCAATTGCACAACACAGAATGAAATGATGCCTGGCGAACATCGTTAGGACAGCAGAAAGATAACGATGTATTACTGGAAAATCAACAATAGACTTCTCATAGACTTTTAACTGTAACCTAGCTAAATTGGGTGAAGATACTTTGTACTGATTTTGTGTGTGTATAGATATGCTGACACAGCGATGTAGCGGCATGCTTGTAACTGAGATCATGCTCATTGTGACAGTCCTCATAGCCAGCCCCTCAAAGAGCATCCTAAAATATGTGAAACTGGGTTAACCCATTTCAACAAGCTTGTTCGCACCAAGAGCAGGTCTTTTGGACTGATAATGGCTCTTTACCACCCAGTTGAGATTAAGACACTCCCAGATACTTTGCATAACAATAGGGAGAGTTCACCATATTGTATTATGCCGAGGAAAACTCTATCCTGAACTACTATGAGGCTTTCACAGGAGAAGGAGCTTTTCCATGAGACTAATAACCAATAGACTTTCTAACCTATTGTGACAACAAAATTAATTCTCTACTTTTACTGACTGCGACTATGCTTCAAGTTTTTGCTGCTGGAAGCCTACAAAGAGTCCTGTGTGGTTTCACTAAAGGCAACTGTGAGACAACCTTTTGTCTTCAGAGGGGGAAGAAACTGCAACAAGATACCTTTATCAAACCTATCTCAGGTGGAATCTCAACATTTTGCTTTGTTGGCAATCTGGATCTGTGAGCCACCTGGCCCAGTTTTTGAACTATTTGTCTTGACTCAATGTTTTATGCTATCCTTACCCGATGAAGAACTCTGGAGAACTCAAAAGCTTATCTTATCTGTGATCTTTGAGTGATGCAATAAAGGCATTGCTCATCCTCTGCTATTGTGAGAATTGTAGGCACACCTGGGAGGAACAGAGAAGCCTGAGAGAGATGGATGATGCTACCAATATTCCTAATTTTTTTTAAAAAAACTGGAGATTTGATTCTGTCAAATGGGCTCCATTACACCACTACTCCAATACCAAGCTCTGTCTTTGAAGCACAGCTAGGAATCATCCCCCTCCATTCGTTTGCTAAGCTCCACCAGATCCCCCAGTTTGTTCTGCTGGTAGTGGAAGGATCCAGGATCAGTGCTTCCCCTCTTGATCAAGAGATGCCACTCAAAGACAGCTTGCTCTTGAAAGAAATGTTTCCCTTGTTGGCTTTGTAATTTTCCAAAGCTAAACATGTGTTGGAAGGGGCTGGTGTGGACTTTGAAAGTTTGATCCCCAAATTCTGGATGACGTCCAGCCCTGCTTTAAAGGAACAACGTACTGTATGTTGCCAAAGAAGCTGGTGATGTAACTTTCAGAGATGGATGACAGGCAGCCATCAGCTTTCCTCTTTCCCTGGGGGGCTCTGTTTTCTCACACTGGACTGTGGAAGACAGCATTGGCTGGCTCATGGGATAGGCAGTTCTATCAATTTCAACAGCAGCCCCAGGAGAAGACATCAGAGTGCATGAAATAAATTGCTTTCTGATGTAGAAGGATATGTATGTTATTTGCCATCAACTTTTTTTACTTATGGTGGTTTCCTTTACTGAATAAATCCATCTCCTGCTACTTTCCCTCTATTTCTATGATTTCCCCCAATTTTTTTTACCATGTTGGGATGGGTTTTGCCTTCAAGTTTTGTATTCTCATGATACGTTCAAAGCAAGATAGTTTCTCTTTGGCCATTTCCGCTTCTAGTGTGAGTTCAGGTTGGGTTTGATCTAGAACCCACTCATCTTTTTGACAGTCCCTACTATCTGTAAAATTCCGAACAAATCGTTTCTTTCCATTACCAGCTTTCTCCATTGTTCAACTTCCACATTCCCCAGGTGCTTCCTAGCATTTCAACGTCCTTTCCAGATTCTGGGCACACCTGAAAACGTCTGATGGATAGCCTGCCAAAGACGAAGTGTTCCTGCTTCCATTTGCTAGGCAACTTTCGTTAACTGCCATTCACTAGAAGAACACTCTAATCCGATCATCTCTGCCTCCTTTAATAAGGAAGCTGTCGTCCCTTACCACTGTCTCTCCGTGTTCAGTCTCTGTTCTGTCTCTCCCACCATCCCATCCAGTAGGAACAGAAGAGGATTGAGTGAGTGGAGCTTCTTTAAGCCAAGCTAGAACCCCAATCCTTGTCCACTGTTCTTTTCTTTGCTACCTCCCTTCCCTGGAATCCTCCCAAGTTTTGTTGTTTTGATCCCTTGGTGTAATCAAGCAGGGACAGTGTGAGGAATCCAACTGTCCCCAATCTAAGCTCCAACTCATTCAGATAATTAAATCCCACCAAAAGAGAAGAGCATCTGAATTCAAGCAACCCTCTTCCTGAAGAATCATCTGTCCTTTGTTGGTGCCTAGACATGGTAATATCCGGATTTAAGTCAATATTTGACCCTTCGTTCTTTATCTTCTCCTTTCTCCAGCATCTTTGGATCTCTTCCCCCACGTCACATCGTATCCACCTCTTTTGTCTTGTTTTGTCTTGCTGCAGGGCTAAATTAATTAATATTTATTGATTTACTGAGAATATTGATATGGTACTTTTCTCCTAAAGGATCCAAGGTGGCTTACAGGACTAAAAGAAATAAAGTTGAGATATTTATTGATTTACTGAGAATATTGATATGCTAGTTTTCTCCTAAAGGATCCAAGTTGGCTTACAGTACTAAAAGAAATAAAGTTAAAAGCTAAATAATAAATTATGACAATATTAAAAAAGCATTAAACAGTTGTTTTGACTAGTCTAAACATGAGAGCTTTACATTATTCTGTCACCTGCTTATCTGGCTTGACTCTTATATTTCCTTCCTTTTCTTACATCCAAAAATATAGATTAAAAACATTGCAAAAAGGTACTGGAATTAAACGTAGTTAGTCCCACTAGCAGCCAGATGAATATTATCTCATAAGGAGGGTTTGATATTATCTCATGAATATTATCTCATAAGGAGGGTTCCTAGAAGCTCCACTATGCCCAAGGTCTTCTGTGAAAATCCACTGTCTTCCTTCTTTAGGACAGCTGCAACAACAGAAGCTGGACAAGAAAAAAACTATGTTCTGCTGGCACCAGATATCAACATATGATTTTGGCTTGCCTTCCATTGATTTACTCCCAGATTTAAAAGAATAAGATAGCTAGGTTGGACTTCTGCTCCAAACCAATTGTGGATTTCTCCTGTTGTTTCATTTTATATCTGCTTCTGCATTGATCATTAACTTGTCCAAGCATTTCTGAACACCTACATTCTTTTTCTTCCAAGCTTAGTCAGAAGCAAAGGGTGGAGGAGGCAAGGTGGCAAATTGATCCAGGCGTCCACAAGACTTGGAGCCACCAGATATGGATTTCTATTGCTCAAGGTGGCAGGCAAACATGGTTGCCATGGATGGTTTGTTTAAGAGCCCAGGGAAGGCCAGTGAATGAACAGGTGGGCAGTTTGTGTAGAAATAGCAGACATCGTAGAAGTACCTCTTGTGCCAAATTACAGGTGCTTAGGTAAGAGGGGAGGCAATTGTGATAGATACCATCAAAGTTGATTTCAGGATGGAAGGGAACTATAAATTATTTACTTCTGTGCTTGACCTGGCCAATGAATTGCGTACATCCGATGTGTTTGCCAACATTGGAGATGAGGACAAAGAGACTGAAAAACAACAGTGAGAATAGCTGGAGGAGGGCCACCTTTAGAAGCTTAAGGACCACTGTCCCCAGGATCTTCCAGGGCCACTGCCATACTCCCAAATATTTTTCTGGGAACTCTAAGGTCCCTGATTTTCCTCCTTATGGTTCCTTATCTTTAAATTGGGCTACAACTAGAGCACCCTTCAAATGGACACCTTCAACGAGAAGACAGTGTTTCAACAGACCTTCAGATAGAGGATGGTCTTTAAAGTGTCCTGATAGAGAACTACTGGGTGCATGCTGGTGGGTCCATCAGATGGCTATGACCAAGTCAGGGAGTGGAGCCTTCTGTAAGCCCCAACTGCTTAGCAGCACAGAGGCTGGGAAAAAAATCCTTCAGGTGTAGATCAGGTTGTCCTGCATTCAGTACCTACCAGCAGGAACGGCAGCAGCCATTTGGGGAGACATACTGACACTTGCTTGACCACCAAAAAAGCAGAGGTGAATAATTTCCCGGTGGTGGGTTGCCAGATTTTAGCCAGGTTTTCCCTTCATTCCCCTTCTGCCTGTTTTTGTAACCAGTTGGTCAAGAACTGATCCTTGCCTCCTTCCCAATCCTTGTCTGCCTCCATATCTGATCAGACCAGATGGACGGGATATAAATCAAATGAATGAATGAATGAATGAATGAATGAATGAATGAATGAATGAATGAATAAATGAATAAATAAATAAATAAATAAATAAATAAATATGGCATCACAGGGGCCACCCTCCGGTCACTATTTTTGGCCCTGAAATGTCAGAAAATAGAATGTTGTTGACATGGGAATCGTATAAAATGTGGTAATGAGAGAAAGGCAAGAGGAGAAGGGGACGATAGAGGATGAGATGGATGGACAGCGTCACCGAAACGACCAACATGAAGTTGACCCAACTCCGGGAGGCAGTGGAAGACAGGAGGGCCTGGCATGCTCTGGTCCATGGGGTCACGAGGAGTCGGACACAACTAAACGACTAAACAACAACAATGAGAGAAAGATGGGATCTTTGGATGCATTGCAATAAGCGGGAGAGGGGTTCAAGGAACTCCCCTAGTTTTCAGTGCAACTTAATTTCCAAGCAGATGAGCACAGAACCCATTCATCTTAATGTTTTTGTTACCTAGATAATCACTCACTGCACACTTACTCAAAAAGTAAGACTTCTATGGGGCCCACTCTCTAGTAAGTGGGTATAGGATAGTAGCTTAAACATTTTTTCTGAGGTGCTACAAATTTTTGGATCACAAAAATATGTGTGGAAGGATTCTCCAAATTGGTTCCAGTTGCGCTACACCATGAGTTTGTCATATGATAGTTTTACCAATTGGCTTTCAATTTGGGAGGAAACCATTATTACTGAAGAGAATTTCAGAGATGTTTCATCAGTGAAGCCCATACCCTGTCTAACATCTGTGGGATAGCCAGCAGTTTCCCCATCTGCCTATGCTTCAATGAAGGCTCAAGAGAATCTCGTACAGGTGTTTTGTTTTTTCCCCAAATCATGAAGTGTGGGCAGCCAGGGAAGCTGCAGAGTGATGAAGAGATAGGTGACAGAAAGAAAATAAATAAATTAATGGGTGACTCTGGACCATCTTTTCAGTAAGCTGAAAAATATTACTATAGGAAATTCTAAAAAGCCTGAGAAGTATCTAGAAAAACCAAAAGCTTTTTCATGGGAACACAAATTTTGGAGGGGGGGGAATTAGATGACACTCATAATATGATTATCACTTCACATTTTCCCTCAGGCTAGATACAACACCATCCTCCCTGATAACTACTGAAGGCCAAGAGTTATCATATAAAACAACAACAATGAGAGAAAGATGGGATCTGAGTCTTTGGATGCATCTGCAGTAGAGTCAAAATGACTCCTCCAGTATTTAACTGTCTCATTAATTTTTTTCCCCCCCTTACATTCTGAGATGTTTCTTGTTCTTATTTCCCTAGAAACAGGACGCCACTTTGGAGAATCCCCCTTCCATGTCTCCACCATTTTTGGTCATTTGTATCCCAGCGCCTTGAAAGGAGACACCCTAGAGCAGTGGTTCTCAAACTGGGGTCTCCAGACGTTCTCGAACTGCAATTCCCAGAAGGATTTCTGGGGACCCAAGGTTGGGAACCACTGGTTTAGAAGGCCCTGTGGAGGAAGAGGCAAGAAGAGGCTAAGGAGCTGTTGCTATTGATAGGGACTGTGCAAGACCCCAAACGCTTTGGCTTTGAAGAAAAAAAGGGGGAATAAAAATGTGATAACTGCCACTACTGATGTAGTGGAGAAATTGATAAAATTGTCCCTGCAGTTTCTCTGTCCACAGACAGGGTGGAGCATTTTCGAGAGGCTGTTTGTGGACAGCCAAAGTCCCATCCAAAGTTGAATTTGCCTAAGGAGATAAGAACAGCCACTCTGGATTCCACCAAAAGCTGGCTCACCCAGCGTTTTGTTTTCAGAGTGGCCAGCCTGATGCCTACGGAATTCCCATAAGGAGGACATGCTTCTCCATAACAGGTTCTGAAGCTGATCCACGTACTTCTTCCTTGTTTTGCTTCTAAAAAGGATGTGGTGACTGACGCAAATCCCAAGGAGGAATCCACAGCTGATTCAAAAGGCGACATGAAAGGAGCCAAGAAACGGACGGTGTCCTGTTATATGTCCAAGCTGAAGGTATCAAGATGTTCTAAATCCTTTGTCAATGTGAACTCAGTGTAGGCTCAGTGGGGGGGAAAGATTCAAGCTCAGTACCCACCATCTCCAGGAAAGGCTAGGGAGGAATCCTACCTGAAGCCATGAGGAGCAATCCCAGGTGGTATTGACAGTATGAGGCTGGGTGGAACACAAGTCAGAGTCAGGGTAAAGCAGCTTAACAGGCTGGAAACATCACTTTAGATTTACCCCCATTAAAGTGAAAAACATTTATACTTTGTTCCTAGTAGGACAGTGCTGGTGCAATGGTGGGCTGGGCTTGATGAGCCATAGAGTCCCCTTGAGCTTTGCCATTCTAAGAGTTAGTTAGGCATCCTTCAGTCTCGAGATACTATGGTAATGTGCTCTGTATGGAGGACTTGGAACAGCGTCTAGTGTGGCTGAGGAGGCCAATTTGAGAGTGACAATCCTTTCCACACTGAAGACAAATCCAACCTGTCCCCTGCCAGCTCCCTGGTTTTGCTGCTTTTGTGACTTCCTCTTTGCCTCGGCCTGCTGGACAAGGGTCTCTTCAAATTGGGAGAGGCGTGATGCAGTGCCTGCCTCCAGGCTGAACGCTCAGATGTCAGGGTTTCCCATCTGTTGAGGTCTATTCCTAAGGCCTTCAGATCTCGCTTGCAGATGTCCTTGTATCATTGCTGTGGTCTCCCTCTGGGGCGCTTTCCCTGCAGTAATTCTCCATACAGGATATCCTCGTTCTAAGAGTATTATTATATGAAACACAAAATCTTGAAATAAATGTTTTGTTTTCAGGTCTGCTGGAAAAATACAGGAAAATAGGATGTGGTTCCCTTTAGTGACATACTCATTTTGCCACTTGAAAATACTTGACAAAATTTACCAACAACCACAGCAACAACCAAAAAACAAACATTTTGGGTTCCTCCTTTCTGCATTGCTTTTCAGCTTTGTAATATAATGATTGTTGTGGGTTTTTCGGGCTCTTTGGCCCTGTTCTGAAGGTTGTTCTTCCTGATGTTTTGCCAGTCTCTGTGGCTGGCATCTTCAGAGGACTGGAGTAGGAATTCTGTCCATGCTCTGGACACTTATTCTGGACAGAGCATGGACACAGAGCATGGACAGAGTTCCTACTCCAGTCCTCTGAAGATGCTGGCCACAGAGACTGGCGAAACGTAAGGAAGAACAACCTTCAGAACATGGCCAAAGAGCCTGAAAAACCCACAACAACCATCAGATCCTGGCCGTGAAAGCCTTCAAAAATACTTTGTAATATAACTTTGGGAGATAATCGCTGTTTTCACCACTGTGTCCACTGTTTTGGATGTAAGTTCCTTGGGACAGGGAGCTGTACCTTCCAGATCAGCACCTTATCTTTGTTCCTGAGAAAACTTAAGGTGTTACGGTTGGGGGGGGGGAAGGAATGCGGTTTATCAGCTTTAAGAGGATCATTTTGCCTGTCAAGAAACTTATTCGTAGTGCTTTGGATTGTCACTGGAGAACATGAGGAGAAGGCTGGTGAGCTTATTATTATTATTACCATCTTTATTTTGCAGGGTGCCAGCTTTACGGTCTGTCCATGGTCCCCAGAGTGGAAATAATGTGATTAAGTGTAAGGTGTACCACATTCCCATACTTAATTCTTTAAATTCCATCTGATATCATTTTTCTCACCTCGTGTAAAGCAGGTCTGTCAGCTTATTATTATGCAAAAAAAGAATGAGGGCGCCATACAGCGAAAACAGGGAAAGGGGGCTTTTCACCAAACAAACACGCATTCAACTTCCCAATGAACAACGAGAAGAAAAGAAACTGTCCTAGTTCTATGTCCGTGGGGTGTGTGTGTGTGTGCCCTTCTTTCAGGCCAAGGAACCCCATGGGCTGATCTCTTTCACCAATGACAGTGGTGGAAGAGCCAGCTAGAGCAGGGTTTGGGAAAACAGCAGACTGAAAGGAAGTCCTACCAGGCAGCATCAGTTCTGAAGAGGATGTCTCTTCAGTCAACATGCCTGTACAAACAGCCAACGGGGATGAACAAAAGTATGGGAGGAGAAGCACAATACCACAGAAGAGAGAATCCACGTCATTCACAACAGGGTAGAACCATAAACCCTTCAGCAGGATTTAGCTGTTTTAAAAATAATAAACAAAAAAAAATCTAGGCTCCCTTAGTTTATTTCCAGCTCCAAGTCTTGCTGAAGCAACTCATATGCAGTAGTAGTAAGAGTAGCAGCAGTAGTAACATTAGGAGTAGTAGCATTCAGGTTTGAGCCACTAAGACTTCAGGTTCACTCTGTTAGCAGAGACTTGTTCTCAGGGAGATCAGCTGACATTGCTAAATACCTGTAAATGGAGACTCCAGTATATAGTAGGCAATAATGTTGTTTTTTCAAGGCAGAAATGTATTTTGGAAATGAAGAAAGCCCAAAGAACATTCAGGGTTCTCTAGCATCCATGCCCTCCTGCAAGCAAATGGAGGCGGGCTGTTTCCCAACCAGCTGACAACTATTGCGAAAGAGAAGGTGTGGGGGAGCAAGAAGGGGGTGGGAACACCGCGACCTAACAGACTAAAATGGAATGATCTAACGCCAACATGTAGTTGATTGTTACATAGCAATGCCAGAGGCTGGAGGAGTGATTTCCATGTGAATGGAAGGAATGATCTTATCAACCCCTGTCCTTCCAAACTGTTCCAAAGCGACCCTGTCACTCCTGTAGCTGTACACTGAGTCTTATATCACTGATGCACTAGGATGCACGACATGTGGTTATTTTATTTCTTTGCTTCGCGTTGTATGCATTTGTTTAAAAGCCAAGCACGGTGCAGAGGTGGAGAATTTAGGTCAGTCGTTACAATTCTGTTTGTTTAATTTTTAAAGCCTTCTCTTTCATTGGAAAATCCTGAATCAAGGAATGCTTGGTTGGAACAAGTCTTAGACCCTACCTGCTTCTTCCTTACTCCTCCCTTTATGGGGACAGGTTTCTCCTCCCAGTGTGGTTCATCTGAATTACAAGGTGGATTTGAGATCTTGGAACCGAACCTAGGTCAGGGCCATATGAAGGAATGTGAAAAAACAGTTCCTGGACAAGTCCATCATGCTACCCAGACTTCTCACTCTCACAGATACATACAGACGAACAATCTGGTTGACTAACTCTGTTTATTTCCAATGGTTACTGTTTAATCTCTGCTAGAGTCTGGGTAGCCATTTATCAAGGATAATATAACAGCAAATGGCTGACAATTGGATTCTGAAAGATCTTCTGTATGGCGAATTAGTGCAGGGAAAGCGCCCCAGAGGGAGACCACAGCTGCGATACAAGGACATCTGCAAGCAGGATCTGAAGGCCTTAGGAATGGACCTCAACAGATGGGAAACCTTGACCTCTGAGCGCTCAGCCCAGAGGCACGTAGTGCATCATAGCCTCTCCCAATTTGAAGAGACCCTTGTCCAGCAGGCCAAGGCCAAGAGGCCGTCCCGAAAACAGCAAAATCAGGGGTTAGACCACAGCTGCGATACAAGGACATCTGCAAGCAGGATCTGAAGGCCTTAGGAATGGACCTCAACAGATGGGAAACCTTGACCTCTGAGCGCTCAGCCCAGAGGCACGTAGTGCATCATAGCCTCTCCCAATTTGAAGAGACCCTTGTCCAGCAGGCCAAGGCCAAGAGGCCGTCCCGAAAACAGCAAAATCGGGGCTTTTGGACAGGGAACAGATTGTATTTGTCTTCACTGTGGAAGAGATTGTCACTCTTGAATTGGCCTTCTCAGCCACACTAGACGCTGTTCCAAGACCTCTATTCAGAGAACGTTACCATAGTCTCTTGAGACTGAAGGATGCCTACACAATAATGGCAAAACATTTGAACTGCATATCCTACACTGAGCAGGGTCTTGGACGTCAAGGTTTCTCTGAGCTCTGTGGTTTTACCATTCTAACTCACTCTAACAATTTCTTAGCGTTAATCTAATGGGTTTTGCTCATCCCCTTGTAGGTGTTTCTGGTGGCATTATTTTTTGCATACCTGGCCAAGACCATGTCTGGGGCGTACATGAACAGCATGCTCACACAGATTGAAAGGCGGTTCAACATCCCGGCCTCACTGGTTGGAGTTATCAATGGAAGCTTTGAAATCGGTATGCTAGTGAATAAGTTTAGCCATACAGATATAGAGCCCCAAATTCCATCTTTTTCCTGAAATCGATGGGACATCCAATTACAGTGATGCCTCGCAAGATGAAAATAATTCGTTCCACGAGTCATTTCGTATTGTGAATTTTTTGTCTTGCGAATTTTCCCATAGGAATGCATTGGGGAAAAATGATCTTGCGAAGCACAGCCATAGAAAAATTCGTTTTGCAAATCACCAAAAAAAAACACACCACATCTCAAATAGCTTTCGTCTTGCAGTTTTTCATTGCACGAGGCATTCGTCTCGCGAGGCATCACTGTATGTTTCTTTGGCTAGATCATAATCTGTGATCTTTCTTTTTATAGGTAACTTGCTGGTGATTGCCTTTGTGAGTTATTTGGGATCCAAACTTCACAGGCCACGCATGATTGCTCTTGGTTGTGCAGTGATGGGTTTGGGATGCTTCTTGATATCACTGCCTCACTTCTTGATGGGAAGGTAGGTCCCACTAGCAATGTCAGCACGCTTGCAGTGTATGCATGTATCCTACTATCAGAACTTATTGCCCTTTCATTATACAACACCAAATTTGTCAAAGTATGCTCAATGTTTGGTACACCTCTGAACACCTTTCAAACCACAGAGGAAGAATTAAGCAGGGGGAAATGTAGAAGCAATGAGCAAAGGGTCTTTATGAATAACAACTAGAAGTGCATCTTTGTTATAAGGTAGGATATGACTTATTTAACTTATATGTACAATACATCATGCAAAAGGCTGGACTGGATGAATCCCAAGCTGGAATTAAGACTGCCAGAAGAAATATCAACAACCTCAGATATGCAGATGATACCACTCTGATGACAGAAAGTGAGGAGGAATTAAAGAACCTCTTAATGAGGGTGAAAGAGGAGAGAGCAAAAAATGGTCTGAAGCTCAGCATCGAAAAAACTAAGATCATGGCCACTGGCCCCATCACTTCCTGGCAAATAGAAGGGGAAGATACGGAGGCAGTGACAGATTTTACCTTCTTGGGCTCCCTGATCATTGCAGATGGTGACAGCAACCATGAAATTAAAAGACACCTGCTTCTTGGGAGGAAAGCGATGACAAACCTAGACAGCATCTTAGAAAGCAGAAACATCACCTTGCCGACAAAGGTCCGCATCCTCAAAGCTATGTTTTTTCCAGTAGTGATGTATGGGAAGTGAGAGCTGGACCACAAAGAAGGCTGACCACCAAAGAATTGATGCTTTTGAATTGTGGTGCTGGAGGAGACTCTTCAGAGTCCCCTGGACTGCAAGGAAAACAAACCTATCCATTCCTAAGGAAATCAACCCTGAGTGCTCACTGGAGGGACAGATCCTGAAGTTGAGGCTCCAATACTTTGGCCATCTCATGAGAAGAGAAGACTCCCTGGAAAAGACCCTGATGTTGGGAAAGTGTGAAGGCAAGAGGAGAAGGGGACGACAGAGACCGGCATGGTTGGACAGGGTCACCGAAGCTACCAACATGAATTTGACACAACTCTGGGAGGCAGCGGAAGACAGGAGGGCCTGGCGTGCTCTGGTCCATGGCGTCATGAAGAGTCTGACACAACTTAATGACTAAACAACAACACGATATGACTGAAGAAGAAAGTATAATTTCCATTTGGTTTTGATCAATGATTCCCAACCTTAGGTACCCCACATGTTCTTGGACTGCAACTCACAGAATCCTTCACCACCAGCTGTGCTGATCAGGGAACTGCAGTCCAAGAACGTACAGGTTACCCAGGGTAGGGAACCACTGTTTTAGATATTTAAGCCATTTTTAAAATTAATTACAACAACAGCATAATAAAATAATATTTATAAAATTAAAAACAATGATCAGCATTGTTGGTGGTACTGGCAGGACAGTTTTCTTTCCTATTTATTTATTTATTTATTTATTAAAAATATCTGCTGTGTTTCTGATTGAAAAAAAGGAGGGGGGAGACATAGCAACACCCCTTTCTTTCATCCATCTCAATAATTCTGAGATGACAAATAAATCATGCAGACATGAATCCAGTAAGAGATGAAAATATAGAGGCAGCAATTCTATAGGCTTCTTCCTGTGAGTAAGCTCCACTAAACTGGGGGTGGGGCTTATTTCTAAGTAGACCTGCCCAGAATGGTAACATGAATGATGATGACTTTCCACACATGGATTCCCCTAGGCCATCCTGTCAATTAAAGCTAATGCAACCATTTGCAAAAAGTGGTTTCATGGACCAAAACTAATTGTGTAGTATATTATATTATATTATATTATATTATATTATATTATATTATATTATATTATATTATATTATATTATATCATATTATATTATATTACCTTGGGACTTTGCAGCTTTCAGTTTTCATAGGCTGGCTCTTCTGGCAAGAGGCAGAGTGGGGGAATCAAACAACCAGATACTTAAACCACTGCATTATCCAGCCAGCCAATAATAACCATGTGCTATCAAGTCAATTCTGACTTATGGTAACCCTTTTCAGGGTTTTCTAGATAGAGAATACTCCAAAGAGGTTTACCATATGTTTCTTCAAGGGAACACCCTGGGACTGTGCAGCTTGCTCAAGGCCACACAGGCTGGTTTTCCTCCCAGGAGGCATGGTGGGGGAGAATCGAACTCCCAACTGTTGCCTCTGCAGCCAGGTACCCAACTCACTGAGCTATCCAGCCAGCTACTGAGGAGCACAAAAGAAAAGAAGGCTGACCACCTCCTGCTTTGTCTTCATTTTATTTTGACTTCACAGGTACCAGTATGAAAACACTGCTTCTTTAGTGGAAAACTCTTCTTCTTTAAGTATGGCTCTCTGCCTTGCAAATCAAAGCCAATTTTCCCTTGCTAGTGAACAGCCCTTAGAAGGTAAGATTCCTGCTATATTTGTTGTCTTTCCTTCTGTTTAACCATAAAAAAATCATAAGAGAAACTCAGTGGGATCAGGCTGAAGATTTGTCTAGTTTAGCATTCTGTTTGCACAGTGGCCAACCAAGATGCTCACAAGGAGCTTACCAGCAGGCCGTGAAACTTATAGCAACTTCCCAGTTGTCTTTCCCACTAAATGGGATAGAGAGAGATACACTGCCTCTGATACTGGAGATAATATTTAGTCACAGTGACTGGTGGTGTGGACTTGCATGAATGTGTCCAAGTCTGGTTTAAGCCCTGGCAGCTATTATTACATTTTGGGGTCACAAATCATATTCTGTATGAGGTACATCCTTTTATATGTCCCGAATCCCCCAACTAGGAAAAGGGAACCAAGTTCTACTTCACACCATGCCTAATGCACTTTCCTACCACAATATGTCACAATAATTAGGTCACCCTTTCCTCTTAAAAAAAAAAAATCCTCTCCCCACTCTTCTCACTTTCATGATGAACCTAAAAATTCTGCAATCCTTACTCAGATTGATAACAGCTGGGACTCTTGGTCCTTTGTGACATCAAAGCAACTGCATGAGTGATTACATTGACTAAAAATGTGGAAAATGATACAGGATTGGGATGTTGGAATTTGCAGTTTTTTTTCATTGACCACATGTTGTAAAAGCAGATGCGAATCATGCCAGAGTCCTCCCCCATCTGCCACTGGGGCTTCTACTTTCTTTTCCACAGTGGATCCATTTGCATGGGTTCAGGTAGTGTGATTGTTTGAAATGATGAAGAAAAGTTTGTGCTGTGGCAGAGGAGGAAAAGATTCAGCCTAGACAAGCTGGATCTTTGCAAATAATACAAATAATGACATGTTTTCTTTTTTTTTTTTAAAGCTTGGTGCCAGCACTGTTGTGTTAGACTACCTAGACAATCCCCCCAAAAAAGAAAAAGAAAAATAGAGAGTGAAATTGCCACTCAGCCCTTATTTACAGCTTATTAAGTAGTTCTCCTGCAACCATTTGTCCTGCAGGAGAACTACATTAACAAGCTGCAAACAAGGCTGTTTAGCCAATTTCCTCTCCCTATGTGGCCAGTTAGTGCAAACAGACCCAGGGAAATCTAAATTCTGCAGAGAGACTTCACAGCAACTGGATTCATATTTCTCCAGCTGTATCAACACATCCTAAGTCAACATGTATAGTTATCTTTTTCTTTGCCCTCCTGGAACTCCATGATTCACTAGGAGATGGGGGCAGCAGAATGATGTGTCATCCTGTAGTAGTTTCATATTGATCCAGTTCAGGCCAACATGTCATTATCTACAGGTATATCAGTGCTTCATTACAAATGAATGGAAAGCATTAAAATATTTCATTATCTTGCGAAAGCCTCCATATGGATGTGATATTGATTGTGTTTGTGTGTGTGTGTTTCTTGCTAGAATGTAACAAACAAGCTGGATCCTTGATGTGGGTGTTTGTGATGGTGGGAAACATCATTCGAGGAGTGGGCAAAACTCCCATCACGCCTTTAGGCATTTCATTCGTGGAGGATTTTGCAAGAAGTGAAAATTCTCCCTTCTATATTGGTATGCTTGCAATCAATACTTAAGCTTAGTGTTATGCTTGTTTGTTTTTAAACCAAGATTGAAAAAGTTTCTTACAAATATTTGCAATGCAATTCTATGCATGTTTGTCCAGAAAAAAAAATCTCCCTGTATTCACTGTCCTTTGCCTTCAGACAGATGTGCATAGGGCTGCTCTCTTAGTTTCTTTTCACAACATTTCATTTTATTCCCACTTCATCCTCCTCAATTTTTTTGCTTCCAATTTGCATACCATTAATACTCCATGCCCATGGAAATCCCTTTGCTAAATGTAGTAAGTTGCACTTAAGTAGGTCCACTGAATCAGTGGGAGTTTGGTGAATCCTCCTCCATAAGTTCCTTTGATTTAAATGGTTCTACTTGTAAACATAATTTATAGAAGAGTTGGCTCATCAAATCCTTGACCCTTGCTTTATGTTTGGATGAAAAGTGAGTTACTGGTGAAAAAAAGAAATCAGCTTCTGGGTTTTCCCTTGCTTTGTGTCTCTTTGTGAATGGTAGTGAGTACAAAAGGGTATCCATAGACCAGCCATTCCCAACCTTGGGTGAACCAGGTGTTCTTGGACTGCAATTCCCAGAAGCCCTCATTACCAGCTGTGCTGGTCAGGATTTCTGGGAGTTGCAGTCCAACGCCTGGGTTACCCAAGGTTGAGAATGGCTGTTGTAGACCATCTTGACTGCTGCCATTGGTGTTGTCAACATTTAGGCTGTGCTTTGCAGTGTAAAGCTTGGCATCCTTTTTCCTGCTGGCAACGCAGCCTTGATATTGTGCTGCAATATTGGGCCATTTCCCTGGTAGTTTGAATTGATCATACAGAAGCGCAATAACTCACATTCACAAAATAGGAGGTTATTTAAAGTATTGAATTCTCTTCAAGCTCACCTTAATCAGATTGCCATTCTACTTCTGTCCATCCCATTCTCCCCTCTGTTTTCCCCATGTGTCATCACCAGTTAACATTCTAGACCCTCACTCGGTCCTCCTCACTTGACATTTTTGGACATTTCTCTTTCCCCCCCTTCTGCATTTTCCCTCCCTCTGAAAATGGTTTTATACTTGTGCAAACCTGGGTGTTTTCTACAACTTAATGATACATCCCTCGTAGGTGTGGTTATTTCTGCCTGGGCTTCTTAATTAAGTTACCAGAACTGGCCACTAGAAGGAGCCATAGACAATGCTATGTACAGTCGTGCCCCGCTTAACGATTACCCTGTATAACGACGAATCCGCTTCAAGACAATGTTTTTTCACTCGCAATTGCAGTCACAAAACAATGTTTTAATGGGCTTTTTTTGCCTCCCAACGATCGGTTCCCTGCCTCGGGAACCGATTCTTCACATTATGATGATCAAAACAGCTGATCATCAGGTTTTCAAAATAGCCACTGGCTGCTCAAAATGGCTCCCCACTGTGTTTTTGGACGGATTCCTTGCTTTACAGGCACCGAAAATGGCTGCCCCATGGAGGATCTTCACTGGACGGTGAATTATTCAGCCCATTGGAACACATTGGACAGTTTTCAATGCATTTCAATAGGCTTTTTTATTTCACTTTACGATGTTTTCACTCTACAGTGATTATGCTGGAATGAATTAACATCGTCAAGTGAGGCACCACTGTATAGCATTTGCTAGTGAAATATATTTCCACAATGTTATTAACAGGACTGGCCACGAGAGGGAGACAGAGACCATGCTATTAATTCACTATTAAAAATGGCATTTGCTATAATTTGCATTTTTCAGCATCCATGGGGTGGCTTGGAACTGATCCACTGTGGCTATGGGGGTCCTACTGTTTTATTGTTTCAAGGAACACCCCAGAATTGCTGAAGCCAAGTCAAACCAATGCTGGAGAAGAAGCAATATGAAAGTAACTGATTTTATGTACTTTTATCTTTAAAACATCTCCTTTAGGCTGCCTACAGATAGCTACTGTCTTGGGTCCTTTATTGGGCTTAATGATCGGTTCCTATTGTGCCCAGCTGTATGTCGATTTTGGATTCATAGACCTAGGTAATGTGATTGTCAGCATGAATCATTCCAGAAATGGAGTACCCTGTTATTTTGCTGTGAGATACTTACACATTTATTTCTTTCCAACCAGACATAATAGCACAATAAGACGTTTCCTCTATTTAAACTGTTTTTCCCCTCTCCTTTCTGGCTCCATCTCCCACATCTGTGCGTGTGCTGGGGAAAAAAATTGCTCTTTTGAATGTTGGTATAGCCTTTTCCTAAGAATGGCGTATACCAGTGGTGGCGAACCTTTTTGGGCTCGCGTACCCAAACTGGGTGAACATCAGGAAAAGACCCTGATGTTGGGAAAGTGTGAAGGCAAGAGGAGAAGGGGACGAGAGAGGACGAAATGGTTGGACAGTGTCATTGAAGCGACCAAGATGAATTTGACCCAACTCCGGGAGGCAGTGGAAGAGAGGAGGGCCTGGCATGCTCTGGTCCATGGGGTCACGAAGAGTCAGACACAAAACGACTAAACAACAACAAGCCCAAACTGGGGGGAAAACACACACAAAAAAAACACCAGCGGGTGGCGTGCCGCAGCGGTGCAGCGGCAGAACCAGAACTGGCAGTGGAAAGGAGAATCCCAGGCACAGAGGTGCCTCAAGACAAAGAGGTGTCTAAAGTAAAGTAAAGTAAGACCCCACTCTGGATCCACTGCCAGCACCAGCTGCTCTGGATCCACCTGTCGAAGCGCCAGCACTACGACTGCAGCCTCCTTCTCAGGTCTGGCTGTGCGGGAGTCGGAATAGCGAACCGGCAACTTACGGCTCCTGTGCCCGGAGAAAGGTTTGCCATTGCTGGCTTATACCATGGTTCTACTAATCCGCTCCCCATTCATCTGTTCACAGAGGAAGTAACATTAAGTCTCACAGATGCTCGCTGGGTTGGGGCCTGGTGGTTGGGAGTCCTCATATGTGCCGCCGTGAACTTCCTCGTCGCAGTTCCCTTCTGCTTCGTGCCCAAGTCCCTCCCGAAGGAAGGGGAGGAAAAGAGCACTGACATATCACCCAAAGGTACTACGTCATTTCTAGCAACAGAAAATACCAGCCATGCCAAAGTGAATGTCCGTGAAATCGCTAAAGGTAAGCCAAAGCATGGTGTATGCAGATTGATTGATTGATTGATTGATTGATTGATTGATTGATTGATTGATTGATTGATCGATTTAAATTCTGCCCATCTTCCAAATTTCTACTTGAAGGGCTTGTAGAAAAGAGTCAGAGGAAGTTTCCATGCAATTTTGGTGTCTCTAGATGCTGTGGGGGTTATTTTATAGCCAAACAAATTAACAAATAAAAAAATGACTAAACATTCATTGATTTGTAAGTAGAGATGGGGTTATTCGTATTCGTATATGAATATGAATATCCCCGCACAGGTGGCATTAATGAGGGTCTGGCCTCATGGGGCCAAATGGTCCACTCACCGAACCACCACGGACGTGGACCGCGCAATTCTACCTATTGATCCGCAGTGCGCTATCCGCTCACCTGCCAGGGCAGGAGGTGGGAAGATAAGCCTCACTACAAGGTCAAAGAGTGGCGAGTGGATTGCCACCTCTGTGGGGATATTCGTATACGAATACAAATACCCCCATCTCTATTCGTGAGACATTGGGGACATTGATTAATACGAATACAAATCAACAAATTAGTAATTTTTGAATGAATTTGGTTATTCATTTTTAAATTCAAGCCCATCTCTAGTTCTGAATATTGTGGATGCAAAATTACTCACTGAATACTGGGTTAGATTAAGTGAATTTCATGATTTCTTCCAGTTCTTGATGATTTTAAGAGGAAAAACAAGTTCCTTAAAAGCCAGACTGGGAGGCTCCTCTGCCTTAAAGTATCCCATCTGTTCAGTTTTGAAACTTCATGATTCGAGCTGTCCTAGGCCAAAATCTCATGTTGAGGGGATCACCCGGTTTGTACTTAATAAAAAATGTAAATTACGGAAACCAACCCCTATGAAAATTGGTTGAGGGAGTTAGGTGTGCTTAGCCTGGAGAAGAGATGGCTGAGGTATAACATGATGGACATCTTCAGATTATTTAAGGCCTGTTGGAGGATGGCAGAGTCTTCTTCAAGGAAGATTTTAAAATAAAGTTTGAATGACCAGCTATTGGGGATGTTCAGCTGTGGATTTGCCTTTGGGTTGGACTAGATGACCTCCAGGTCCCTTCGTTTCTCTATAATTCTGTGAACCCACGAAGAGATACGTAATGTTGCATTTCATATAACTAGATCCTCTGGCTATGGTTAATTGTTATTTTCTCTGTTTTCCAGATTTCATCCCTTACCTGAAAAGTCTAGTTCACAACCCAATTTATATGCTTTTCTTATGCATCACTGTCATACAGTTCAATGCTTACATTGGGATGGTTACATTTATGCCAAAATATCTGGAGCAGCAGTACGGAATTTCTGCATCTGATGCAATTTTTTTAATAGGTAAAAGAAATGAATGTATATGAGAGAGTGTGGTTATCTGTATGTGTGAAAGTTTGTGAAGGAGTTTATTATAAACATTAGAGCTTATCTAGACAACCATCTATTTTAGACACTGCTGGGATTGCCCCAAACAGCATGGCAGATATATTAGGATTCCCAAAATACATCTAGAGCAGTGGTCCCCAACCTTTTCTGAACCGTGGACCGGTTGGGGTGTGTGGGGTCTGTGCATGGGGGGCACTCCCTGCACTCACGGGTGGGTGGGGTGTGCTTGCACACATGCGTGGATGGGCATGGTGGGGAGTGCATGCAGGGGGGGGGGATCTGTCTCCACGGCCCAGTCCTGCCAAATCCACAGACTGGCACTGGGCCACAGACCGGGGGTTGGGGACCCCTGATCTAGAGGGCAACAGCTGTCCGTATATAGTCTAGAGCATTGGTTCCCAACCTTGGGTCCTCATATGTTCTTGGACTAAAACTCCAAGAAGCCTTCACCACTAGCTGTGCTGGCCAGGATTTCTGGGAATTGTAGTCCAAGAACATCTGGGAACTCAAAGTCAGGAATCACTGGTCTAGGGAAAAAGCAAGGAGGAGGGTGGGACAAGGGGAGCAAGAAGAAGCAGAGGAAATATGAGTTGGGGGCAGGAAGTGAAAACCAACATGGGAGATATCCACCTACTAGGAAAAAAAGATGGATTTGTTTGGCATGTGGTACTGGAGGAAGCAGGGACGTGGTGGCGCTGTGGGCTAAACCGCAGAAGCCTGTGCTGCAGGGTCAGAAAACCAAGCAGTCGTAAGATCGAATCCACGTGAAGGAGTGAGCGCCCGTCGCTTGTCCCAGCTCCCGACAACCTAGCGGTTCGAAAGCATGCAAATCCAAGTAGATAAATAGGGACCACCTCGGTGGGAAGGTAACAGCGTTCTGTGTCTAAGTCGCACTGGCCATGTGACCACGGAAGATTGTCTTCAGACAGAAACGCTGGCTCTATGGCTTGGAAACGGGGATGAGCACCGCCCCCTAGAGTCGAACACGCCTGGACAAAAATTGTCAAGGGGAACCTTTACCTTTACCTTTACTGGAGCAGAGCTTTGTAGATACCCTGGACTGCCAGAAAGACAAACAAGTGGATCCCAGTTCCAATGGTGCCTGAATTTTCTCTGGAAGTGAAAATGACAAATCTAAGATTGTCCTACTTTGGGCATTAGATAAGAAGGCAGGATTCTCTAGAAAAGACAATAATGCTGGGAAAGATGGGAAAGGAGCTGGAGAAGAGGAAGACCAAATAGAAGTTGGATTGAATCCCTTAAGTTTGGAAGACCTGAGCAGAGCTACTGAGGGTAGGGCATTTTGGCTATCACTCAGGCATAGGGTCACCATAAGCAGAGGGAGGCTTGTACTTAACACCAAATAACAACAATAACAAACAAAGCTGTGAAAAATTGTTAAACAATAATTCGCTCCTAATTTACAACTTACTAGTTGTGAAGTTACCTATTCCGCTTTGGCCCTCAGAGGCACAATAATCTGGTCGGGATGGGGGAGAGGTGTTTACAGATGATATCATTCCTGATGAACTTGCATTCTGTGTTTTTCAAAACTTGTAATTTTAGAGGTGTGTCTGATTTTGGTTTTTAGATGTGTGATTTTAGATATTCATTATTCAGGATGTTACATTTTATTTTTTATTTTTTTTAGTTAGTGATCTTAACTTTTATGTTTTATGTGAATTGTAAGCTGTCCTGTGCTCTTGTGAGGATATCAATCAGATAAGATTTATGAATATAGAAATATATAAATTAGCCCGGCACTTCAACCATGAGCTTGTTGATGCTGCTGCAATACCAGCGGTGAGTTTCCACTACAACCCATTTCAGTTTTATAATTAAGGACATCTTTAGGGAGACACCCAATCCAAGCCATTTGGCCTCAGCACCTCCATGATGTCCTCATGGATTCCACCACCTCACTGTCCCTGAATTAGGGATAAAGGCCTCGGTGGGAAGGGCATATACATGCTTGGAATCTCCATATGATATGGAATTTACATGATCAAGGTTCTCCATCACATGGGAAACTGACACACATACAATACTTAACCATGGGTCGCCAGATGTTCTTGGGCTAAAACTCCTGGAAATCTTTACCACTAGCTGTGCTGGCCATGATGTATGGGAGATGTAGTTCAAAAACTCTGGTGACCCAAAGTTGTGAACCCCTGAAATAACAGATTGAATGTTTGGAAGTTAGAATCCCAAAGGATGCAAGAGGAAGGCTGGTGAGCCACTGAATCACCACATCATAGGTTCTGTTCTCCCCTCACCCAGATTTTCAAATAAGGTCTATTTGAACTGTTTCTGATTTATGACATGGGTGAGAAACTTGTTTCCTTTTTATTTTGTTCTTTCATCTCTTGATTTTCCTTTCTAGCTGTTTATAATTTACCAGTTATATGCGCTGGATATTTCTTTGGCAGCCTGATGATGAAAAAATTCAAGATAAGCACGTACAAAGCTGCCCACATTGGCTTTTGGAGTTCTGTGACAGAGTACCTTCTCTATTTCACTGCCTTTTTCCTGGTCTGTAAAAATGCTTCTGTTGCGGGCCTAACTGTCTCCTATGAAGGGTAAGTGTCCAAATCATCTTAGTTCTGGGTTGCTGTCTTACGATATTTCCATAGCCCAAGCATGGTTCCGCAGTTTTATGGCTCGTTTTTCCTTTTTCCCCATTGGATGGCCCCCTGTTTGTTTGTTTGTTTGTTTGTTTGTTTGTTTGTTTGTTTGTTTGTTTAGATAGATAGATAGATAGATAGATAGATAGATAGATAGATAGATAGATAGATAGATAGATAGATAGATAGATAGATAGATAGATAGATAGATAGATAGATGGATGGATGGATGGATGGATGGATGGATGGATGGATGGATGGATGGGGTACGATAGGAGATTCCTGTGCTAACTTAGTTTATCGTAATCTGCCACTAAATGTTATGTCACTGGCTTGCTTCTTCGGGCCACTGTTTAGTATAATCATATAACCTCTTCAAAGTGCCAAGCACCAAGCCGTGTACATAAAAGACACAGAATGAACACCGAAAATTAAGAAAAAACAGTATCCTGTACTCACGTTCATCTTGTAGATTTAAAAAATTAGCAACTTGGGTAGTAATGCAGGAAGTCTGGTCTACATAACCAGATATTGATCGAATGATTCTGAAATTTATATGGTGTTGTTGTTGTTGTTGTTGATGATGATGATGTTGTTGTTTTGTTCTGTCAAGTCAATTCTGTCAAGCCCTATCCAGGGTAGAGAATACTCAGAAGTGGCTTCCAATCCCTTGTTCTGGGGCCACCCTGGGAGTGTACAGCTTGCCCAAGGCCACACAGGCCATGTAAAAACTGTGGTATGTGAGCATGTGAAAAAGATCCAATAAGCATCCTTCTTGGCAGAGAATTCCCATGAATCTGCCCTGATGTGTTCCTGACAGGAAAATATTGAATCTACCAATAATAAATATTCTATAAACCTGCAGTATTTGAAGAGTTGTTAAATAGGATGCAGGTGGCTCATATGACTCATACACCAACAACACATCATTAGCAGTGGTCATTTGTGTGTTTGAACCCAGAATGAAATCATCCCAGCAGTGTCAGTTTCCAGAAATTAAAGACTTTCACCTGTCCTGTGCCTCCCTCCATCGTTTCCCAGAGACAAAAGGCATTCTATGGGAGTCTTGCGACCTTCAGGGTTGGGTGGGGAATTAGAAATATTTTATTTCTAAAAAATCACTGTGGCTGATTACATCATTAGCCTTCTGCAGTGTAATGTACGACAGCAGGATTCTAGACATTGCCTTGTCCCACACTGTGAAATTTAGTGTTGTGGTGCCCATTAGAAGCTAATGTGTGGTGAGAACCTNTTATTTATTTATTTATTTATTTATTTATTTATTTATTTATTTATTTATTTATTTAACTTATATGCCACCCACTCTAACCAAAGGTCTCTGGGCGGCTTACATTGAAGTTTCTGATTAGCCCTCAATCAGACAGGCAAAAAAAAAAACAACAACAACAAAAAAGCTCCGGACGAGAAATGGATTTTAAAAGATTTCTTAAAGATTTCCTAAAGACATGCAGTCTTGTTCTTAAGAAAAACAACTCTTTAAAGGGTGAGTTTTGATTCAGAGCTCAGGAAATCCTGTGCTTTCTCACAGCGAAGCAAGAGAAAGAGTCTGTGTGAGGGGGAGAGACTTCTCTGTTTAGAAAAGCCCTTTATGACATATCCAGTGCCCTGAAGTGAACCACGTGTGAACACGAATTATGAACTCTGGCATTCCTGGGCTAAGTCCAGCCCTCTATAACCATCCTGCCAAGCCACACAAACTTTCAAGATCTTTTGTCCTGCTGTTGTCCTAAAGGGAGCCATGGAGCCCTCCATTTTGAGGACAGCACTGTCTGGCCCTCATTTTCATCCCTTGCCTGTTCCTTTCTTACCTTTGGGGAATATTTTTCAGGATAGATCAACTCTCCTATGTGGAAACAACTTTGTATACTGACTGTAACCGTGGTTGTAACTGCTCCACCAAGCTGTGGGACCCCGTTTGCGGAGACAATGGGATAGCGTATGTTTCAGCGTGTCTTGCGGGGTGCGAAGTATCGAATGGAACTGGAAAACATACAGTAAGCCATATATTTCTGGCAGCATAGAAATACCACTTGGGGTGAGGGGAGCCATAACTAAGCGTTTCTGCTGCAATTTTTCCAGGGGGGCGGGAGTCAAGGCTGCATACTGATGTCTTAGCAGAATTTCCACACATTACTCCTCCACAATGCATCTTTCTGTGTAGATTAAAATAATAAATATGTTTAGGTTTAACAGGGCACATTTTGTTGTTTAGTCATTAAGTCATGTCTGACTCTCTGTGATCCCATGGACCAGAGCGCGCCAGGCCCTCCTGTCTTCCACTGCCTCCCGGAGTTGGGTCAAATTCATGTTGGTTGCTTCAGTGACACTGTCCAACCATCTCATCCTCTGTCATCCCCTCCTCCTCCTGCCTTCAAACTTTCCCAACATCAAGGTCTTTTCCAGGGAGTCTTCTCTTCTCATCAGATGGCCAAAGTATTGGAGCCTCCACTTTAGGATCTGTCCTTCCAGGGAGCACTCAGGGTTGATTTCCTTCAGAATGGATAGGTTTGTTCTCCTTGCAGTTCAGGGGACTCTCCAGAGTCTCCTCCAGCACCACAATTCATAAGCATCAATTCTTTGGTGGTGAGCCTTCTTTATAGTCCACCTCTCACTTCCATACATTGCTACTGGAAATGACTATGCGGACCTTTGTCGGCAAGGTGATGTCTCTGCTTTTTAAGATGCTGTCAAGGTTTGTCATCACTTTCCTCCCAAGAAGCAGGCGTCTTTTAATTTCGTGGCTGCTCTCACCATCTGCAGTGGTCATGGAGCCCAAGAAAGTAAAATCTGTCACTGCCTCCATATCTTCCCCTTCTCTTTGCCAGAAGGGGATGGGACCAGTGGCCATCATCTTGGTTTTTTTGATGTTGAACTTCAGACCATTTTTGCGCTCTCCTCTTTCGCCCTCATTACAACGTTCCTTAATTCCTCCTCACTTTCTGCCATCAGAGTGGTATCATCTACATATCAGAGGTTGTTGATATTTCTTCCAGCAATCTTTATTCCGGCTTGGGATTCATCCAGTCCAGCCTTTTGCATGATGCATTCTGCACATAAGTTAAATAAGCAGGGGGACAATATACAGCCTTGTCGTACTCCTTTCCCAATTTTGAACCAATCAGTTGTTCCATGTCCAGTTCTGACTGTTGCTTTCCTGCCCCACATATAGATTTCTCAGGACAGGGCACATTCTCTCCTTGTTCATTTCCTGTGGGTGCCTGTGATCATGCTTTACCTGCAGACCAGGGACGGGTGAAATAGACATATGTTTACATATTCACCTATTTATTTCATTTCTTTCCCTTGTGATCCTCGTTTCTTCCCAAGCAGGGAGCCCAGGTGGCTTACAAACCTATTAAACAATCGATACAACTAAAACTACAGTACAATGTCTAGAATTTTGTTGGTTCCACTCTGCCCATGCAAGGCGGATGATATCCTGAGCATCATGCCACCTCTTGCAAGCTCTTCATTTTGGCATTGGCTTCCAAGATCACTCACACAACTGGTCGCACACACTGAGGAGGCTGCCAGGGAGGGGGAATTCCCTTTCCCTTCGGTGAACCACTCATTTTTCTGGTCATGTTTCCGACAGCTAGCATTGCCAACCAGCCCTTCTTATCCTTTTCTGAGAGGTCTTACAGTTTCGTTATTTTATTGAGTGATCTTATTGCATTTTAGTGAAAGGTAGTACAAGAATATACTTAAATGAATTAAATTTTAAAATATGAGTTACTGGCACAACATCATAGAGTCCATGGAATGCAACTGTAATTTCCAGCTGGACTTGGGAACGACTTCCCTTATGGTGCAATAGTTAACCTGGCACAATGCCTCATTGACACAGTGGTTAGACTGCAGTATTGCAGTGAAGATTCTGCTCACAACCTTGGGCTCAATTCCAGGCTCAGGAAGCCAGCTCAAGGTTGACTAAACCTTCCTTCATTCCAAGGTTGGTAAATTGAGTAGCCAGCTCACTGAGGGGGCAATATGTGGTCTGCATAATTAAATTGTAAACTGCCCAGAGGGTGCTTTAAGAGTTATGGGGTGGTATATAAGCAGAACGCTTTGCTTCACTCTCAATACGGCTTTCAAATAATTTAAAATTGATACTTTTTCTCTTCTTCTTTTTTTTGCAGGCACTTAGAAATTGCTCCTGTATTGCATCACCAGGATTTCCATTTGGAAATGGCTCAGCCATCCCAGGCCAGTGTAGTAGAGAAGAAAGCTGTGGAACAATGTTGCACTACTATTTAATTTTGTCCTTAGTCTGCTGTTTAATTTATTCGTTTGGAGCCATGCCAGGTTACATGGTCCTAATAAGGTATTGTTGTTGTTGTTGTTGACGGTGGTGGTGGTCGAGGGAAGTACTAAAAAATTTAAAATCCCCATTGGTTTAGAAAGGTGCATGCATCTCATTTGCTAATTTTTAAAATTTATATTTCTGGTCATAGTATTGTCCCCTTAGTAAGAACCAGGCTATAGAATGTGTGCTGCCTCAAGTGGTGAAGCTTGTCTGTTTTTGACAGCAAATGCCTTTTCATCAACTCTCTATGTTGCATTTAGCATGCTCTGTTTTGTAATTAGTTTTTGCAAGGTAAACACAAACATATTTAACAAGACTGCTAGCTGAGACTTGAATATCTGAGGAAATCATATTGGTGAAAGGTAAAACAGGAGAATGATAGGGAACACGCATCCAATGAATATCTCCTTTGACCGTTAGGTAATATTAATGTTTAAAATGGTTTAGGCAAAAGACAGCCTCTTTTTGTCTTTGATAAGAAGGATCTGTACTCAAGCATCCCAGAGTGCAGGTCACATAATAATGGGATCAAGTTTCAGGAAGCCAGACTTTAGCTGAATGTTAGGAAAAAACCTCTTAACTATTAGAGCAGTATGACAATGGAACCAATTATCTTGGGAAGGGGTGAGTGCTCCAACACTGGAGACATTCAGGAGAAAATTGGACAGCCATCTGTCAGATCTGCTTTGATTTGGATTCCTGAACCGAGCAGGGGGTTGGACTTGATGGCCTTATAGGCCCCTTCCAGCTCAATTATTTTATGATCTCAAGCAGATACAGTCACATGATTGTACCTGTGTGCCCCTGGCAGTGTGCAATCACCCTTACACAAGCCTCTGAAACATGGAAGTTGAAGGAATTTGACTTTTGTGAATTCAGATTTGATCTGAGATAATCCGTGCCTGCCAGACTAATATGCTCAACTGGAACATTAACTCCCATTGTTTTCTTTTTTTAAACCAAATACTGTGACTCAGATCTTGGCTCAAAAAGCATGACATGTTTTAAAAGGTATGTCTTCTGAATGCGCAAAAGGAAGTCTGACTAAATGATAAATAGAAGTACAGGTGGATGGAAAGCGGTAGCCACTTAGATAATTTTTTCCTTGTTTTGATGAACTTTTGTGCAGTGCGGTTTCTCTGCCTCCACCTTGTGGTGGGAAAAACAGGAACCTCAGAAACAGAATCAGTGGGGTTTGGAAAAGTTGCCCAGCCCTCTTTGCCAGAGATCTTCAGCCAAATCAGTGGGTCCCCCACCTCCCACTGCTACTAGGATCTGGAATGCAATAATTTTTGAAAACCATAGAACAATGTTTTTCCACCTGCAGTCCAAGTAATCAGCTGGGCTGTGGAACATCATATAATCTCAAGGTCAAAGCCTGTGTTGATCTGAACTATAAAAAATACATAAAATGTGACTGGTAGAGATTATGCACAGCAGTTTCAAGTGTTATGATTAAAAAAACACATTTCTACAGTAAAAACTATATTTTCCCTTGTGTGTGTTTGTGCCAGCAGTTGAAAGTGCCATATTTTTCTGTGTATAAGACTATACTTTTGTCTAAAATCTTTAGACTAAAAATTGAGGGTCGTCTTATACAGTAAGCTGAGGAGAGAACAAAATAAGTGGAGGGGAAAGCAGGGATCAAAGTGATACTGCAGTGCTTTGATCCCTTTTGCCCTACATTTGCTAAGCCCCACTGAGATTTCTTAATTTTGGGTTAGAAAAGCAGGGGTGTCTTATACATGGAAAAATATGGTAAATAAAACAATACCTTGGTCTTTGTTAAAGTCATTACATAGCTTTTCCTGTTTAAAACATATGTATAATAGAATAAAACTCATAGTGTTTAGACATATTGGTACTTGTTACATAAACTTGTACTTTTTATTTTATTTATTTATTAAATTTATACCCCACCTATCTAGACACATGTCTACTCTGGGCAACTTAGTTCTGTTTTTAGAGCATTTTAAAATTTGACAGAGGTAGTTACACTACACATTTTATATCCTAACACATCACACATCACACAGGCTGTATCCTACTACGTACAGTATTTGCTCTATCTGGCTCTCTCACACCCTGTCAGTCTTATCAAGCCCATCTGAGAGACTGCTAACTGACACTCGTTTATTTATATATCTGACTGGTTGACATCATATACATCCAGATTGGTCAGAATTCTTCACTGTGCAAATATTACATTCTTGTTCTTCCTTGTTTGTGTTTACACAGGGCTTGCTTCTCAAAGTAAAAGGACAATAGAGGTATTTTGCACAAATGGCATGACCTCCAAAGGAGGAAAAAGATTTCACTCATGTCCCATTATTCTTATTGTCTGGCTTTCAGTGGGGAAAGAAGAATCTTGCAGGGTTTCACAGCTGAGGAGTCTCAACACCTCCAGGCACCCTAAATAAACAAGACCAAATAGTAATCTACTGAGCATGCTTTACATTCCTATGGGAGTCTCCCTAGATAGCTTGGTGGTTTAGATATCTGCCTGCAGAGCCAGACATTGGGAGCTCAATTTCCCACTGTGCCTTGTTGGCAGGAGCTGGTCTCGATGATCCATAGGATCCTTTCCAGCTTTGCTGTTCTAGGATGATGATGATGATGATGATGATGATGATGATGATGATGATGATGATTCAGGATTCAGGTCTGGGTATAGCGACCTGGGTGTTCCCGTCCTGATGACACGATGCCTCACTAAACTAATTAATAATAATGGGACATGAGTGAAAAATCTGTTCACTGTAGGCACTTTGATTGGATTGGAGTACAAAGAATCCGCCATAGCAAATACCTTGTTTATTGTAATACTGTACTGTATTTCATGTATTGGTTTAATAGGAAATGCTCTTGTTATTCAGATCCTTAAAGCCCGAGGAGAAGTCATTTGGTGTGGGACTCCATTCCTTGGTTGAAAGAGTTTTCGGTAAGACTGATTTTTCAAGATATAAGGAGACTTGGAAACTGAAACCAGGGAGGTGGTGGTGGGGGAAAGGAAGCTGTAAATCAATTTAAATTGTATTCGCGAAGGCTTTCACGGCCAGGATCCAATGGTTGTTGTGGGTTTTTCGGGC